ATACAAAACCATGTCAAGCTCCCAGGATGAAAATCATGTCACTGGCTGGCACTGGGGCAGACCCAGGCTGTACTCAGTGATGGATGGGAAAAGGATTCCGGATCTGCATTCAGGATTGGGATTAAAGGCAGACAGACAGAGAGAGTCCTCCTCAGATGCGGCCACTGAAGAAAGAGCACTGATCCTTTGATCCTTTGGCTTTTATACTGAGCATGAGGCAGATGGGATGGAATACGTTGCTGGTCAGTTTTGTGTCCCCTATCCTGTCCACTCCTCCATGCAGGTGGGACCCCACTGTGCTTTTCCACTGCCAACCCCCAATGGGGCACGTAACAGAGTGAGCTGCCCTCGGGTGTTAGAGCAATAAGCATAAGGAAGACCCCCTCCACACACCGTCCCTGGTCATCAGCTATAGACATCGGTCTGATCACTCTGAGAGCAAACAGTTTCTGCACAATGTGCTGTTAATTTCAGTAGTTAGAAGAGGCCCAGCTAAGAAGCAAAGTTACTGAACAAAATTGGTCCTGTTTTACCTCAAACCAGGACACTCTCCCATAACATCTCAATTCCAGCAGAAGAGCCGGAAGTGCTTAATTCTCAAGGACCCGTGAAAGTCATGAAAGAAAATCGGATATAAGCCAACATCAGAAGCAAGAGAAACCTTGTGATTTCAAACATCTTTTCAACAGCACCACAGACAATGATCTTCAAAGGCATTCTGAATAACCATCTTCCACAAGCATCCCTGAAAAGTTACCTACCTAGTTTAGAAATGCAGGAGAGATCTGTAAAAAAAGCATTCAACTGCTAACTGCAAGAATCAAGGGAATGGATTTAGACTTGCCACATTTCTGAGCAACTGAAACAAGGCAGCTAAAACCAGAAAGCAGTATTCTGATCGCAATCCTTTGAAGAAGCAAGCGGATTTCATATTCATCCTGCTTTTGTCACTTGTGTATTTTCTGTCTATATTCTGAGCCTGATACTACCTCATCTGCGCTGCACTTTAATATTATTCTTTGCCGTATTTGTTCACAGAGTTCACAGTGCAAGAATTAGAGACATATGTAGGACATATGCAGAAGATATCCTGGAATTATCTCATGTTTACAACTCAAAGAGGTATAAGAGAGCTGAAAGTTGGTCTGGATTGTCCCCTAGTGGTCCCCACCTTTCTTGGGGAGCAGAACACAGAATAGGCTATGAATGCTGATTGTTGCATTCATCTCCCAAATTGTGATCTGTTCATAATAAGCAGTACATTTGCCTTCTTCCCTGTAGCATTTTCTGCTCAGCTTGCAGTTTGCAGCATCTCCCAAATTCTTCACTACAAACCTTACCTAGCCATTTACTTCCAATGGTGCATGTGTGATGAAGCTTATTCCTACAAAAATGCATGATCTTTTATGTTATTATGAAGTTATAGCCACTTTTTAGAGGTTTTCTCTAATCTGTTAGTCATTTATAATTCTAGTTCTGTCCTCCTCCATTATGGCAGCCTTTTGCTGCTTGCTGTCCTTCATAAATTGTTTACAGAGTTTCCATTACATTATCCAGGTTATCTTAAATAAAATAATGGCCAACACAAGATTAATTCCCATTTACTCCAGTAACTTCACTTGATACATCCTTATATGCACTAAGAAGCACAAGTAACTGATGCAGGTTATTTTACTGAAAAAATTCAAGGAAAAAGACTGACTTTACCATAACTTGTCACAGATCTTTGCTCATATTTGTCTTATTTTCTTCAGCTATGCAGCTTAGAGAAACAATACCATACATAAAACCTGAAATGCTATTTTTTCAATAAAGGATAAAATTTTGAAACCATATCTGCTCCCAACTCTGTCTATGCACATTTTTTTAATTACCTCTTGTCCAAATTAAGCCATATGTTGTCACACGATGTTGTCAGTAGGCTTTCTTTCTGCATGTTTTTCCATGTTCAAACAATAGATCACTATTCTGAAATTTAATTGAAAGCTGGCAGCTCCAGGCGTCCTAAGGTTCCTGCTCTACATAGTCAATCTCCTCCATGTTTGACCTCAGCAACTAGAGAGACTCCTATGTTTTTATTAAGAGCTTAGGAAAGTACTGTTTATGTCTTTTATCTTCCGAAGAAGTTTTTCCTCTAGTTCCTTCCTTTCTGTCTAAATCATCTCCCAGCTGTATGTGCAACCCAGCTGTTTTGTTCTGGCAAATACTTATTATCCATTGTTCTGTTATTCTTCCTCACTTTTTCTTTCCATATTCTATGTCTTCTCTGGTGCCAATTTCAGCTGTTTTTCTAAGAAAGCTCATGTTCCTGACTGTAGACAGCAGCAGGCCACACATGCAGCAGCACAGGAAGCCCAAAAGAAACTGATATTAAGTGGCTTAAGTACAATTTACTAAAGGATTGTCTTAGAAACAATCTAATTCAAGCTAAAGAACAAAATCATTAGCCCCTAAACTTTCATTTCTCTTCTCTATTCCACCCAAAAATACTAAGAAGGAAATTCACCACAAACACACCACAAACTTCATGTTATTTGCTTTAAAAATAAATAAATAAAAATATAATATACTTGCAAAAACTCTACTCAGCAGAAGGAAGGGAATTCCTTCTTATTCCAGACATCTAGAGAGAGAGGTAAACGCTATTCAATCCTAAAAGATAAGCTCCCTTTTCTAAGCAGATGGAATGAGTAGCGCAGTAATACAATAATGCAATAAACCAGTACAATAATGCAAGAATGTCATAAGCATTAACCAGTACTTTAGACATTGCTATGAGTTAGGGAACATACTTTTATCCTTGCTCATGGCAGGGGGGTTGGAACTAGATGATCTCTAAGGTCTCTTCCAACCCAAACCATTCTGTAATTCTATACCTGACACCTGCGGTTGCATATTCTGCAATCAAGTTCCCCTTAAGATACAGCCTATGACACTCTGATAGCCGGTTCCTAGCTGACCCTCATAATCATATTCAGTTCTAAAATTTATAAATTAATCAGTTAAGTGTGATACAAGTGTGCTGAGAGTTGATCATAGCCTTCTGGAACAAGAAATTTTATAGCTGAAGTTTTATACAATTACAGAGCAAAACAGTTGAGGATAAATACGTAGTGAAGTGTCTTGTGAAGTTAAAATAATTATTGTTCTGTCTGATGGCACACGGGGGATTACGTTAAATGTTTCAGGTTGGTAAAAATAAGTTGATGGTTTAAAAAGAGACAAGATGGCAACAAGACTAAGTCTTCCCTCTTTGCTTACCCAATTCTCTGTCTAAAAAGTTATTAAGCCATAGGATCATCCCCATTTACAAGTCCCATTCACATTAACTTTTTTTTTTTTTAGCACTGCTTTTAATAAAGTACAGGGATTCTTATGCCACAGACCAACCACACTACAGCAGTGTGGGTCTACCCATGGCCTTGCAGTAACTCCTAGCACCCAAAAGGTTAAGCATGTAGAGAGACAGGTTCTCCTGTACACAGCACCATAGCCATTCATGACTTTGCTACAATTTGACACCTTTTATTACCCACGTGCTCTAAATTCTCACTACAACTAAACCGCAAAAGAAAAAAAAAAAGGATCAACCAACCAAAAACCTGCAAGATACTTCAAAGAGGAGCTTTACAAAAGCTAATAAAAATTGGAGGACTCGGGTGTTCAGGGTTTCCACTGGTGTGCTCTTATGACATGGGTATACAGGATATACATGGAAAGCAACAGATCAGATCAACATGCCTGTAGTAAAAAGTAGATATGTGCTCCCATGCACTCTATTCCGCTCAGGTTTTTGCACTATTCTCATTAACAGTTTCCAAGCATAACCTGGTAACACTCTAAAGAGCTAAACCAGCATCTGTCACAAGACATTCTCCTTCTTCCCTCATCCACGGGAAAACAGATGGAGGTACTCTCCTTTCACTCTGTGCCTAGCTTGCTACTGGAGTCAGATCAAAAAAGCACACCTCGCATTTGAATGGAATGCAAAGAGATCTGAGCTGGTTCATAGATCCTGTGAGGGCTTGTCCGACAGCCTCCAGCCAGCTATTAGCAAAGCTTTATCCTCCTTTATCCTTTGCACAGTTTTCCCTTGCTACAAGAAACATCACGCATGCATGTCAGACTGTCAAATAACATGTCCTACCTCAAGCTACTGTGAACAGGAAAAACTCCCACTGTGACTTGATATTCATGAGGAAACAAGCACAGAAAGCCGAAGTGACAGGTCAGCAATACAACATTTTTTTTTTAAAGCAGCTTTTCCCAACTTCAAATTATTTAACTAAATAAGGGCAAAATGGCAGCCAACTAACTAAACGCTGCCAGCCACGACAATTTATCTGGCTCCCAGTATAGCTCTTGCACCCCTCTCTGATCAGAAAGCTCCATTTTCACAGGCTTGTGTGACGCTGGGCTTATCTGGAACCCGTCGCAGCTGTGAACTGAAAAAATGAAGCTACAATTTGGTTGGCTCTGAGCTCCTCTCCCTGAGCAGGACATCCTTCAGCCAACCGAACTGCACCGAGCACGCACAGAAGAGTTTAAGGAACTCCATGCAAGAAACTACCCAGGGCTAAACGCTGCTGGAGACACGAATCCGGGCCAGGAGTAGAGGTTTCAATGAGAGGAAAAAAAGAGTAACGAAGGGCAAGAAAACTCAGGAATTAAAATACTCCACACATGAAAGATTCGTAGGGGCACGATGGGAAGGAGCAGATTAGGAAGGCTGAAGGGAGCTGGAACCGGGCACCAGCCCTGCGGCGGGGCGGCGGGCCCAGCAGGGAGAGACAGCAGCCGCGAAGCC